AAAAAAAAAAAAAAAAAAAAAAAAAAACAAAACTCAATATGCTTACTCACCTCAAACGCCGAACAAGTGAGTACACCCTGTTGATGACCGCCACCACGACCAGCAGAACAATAACCCCATACCAGAAATACTCCGCATAGAGTGCCCCTAGAATAGGAAGATACTCCAGGTGCTTGAGCTCATGCAGAAACGTCTCGACCTGGGTGATATTGGCAAAGTCAACGTCGGAGGCATGCAAGACGCCGTAGTACGTCCCCCCGCTCATACCCTCCATCTGCATTTTGGCAGACGAGTCACCGAGGCTGTGACAAAAATCAATTCACAATCTTTGGTGCAGAGGCAGTTACCCGACCATGTTCTTACTTATAGGGCAGAGGGTTCTACTGGATGATGGATCATATTCCCGCCCCACCTTCGGAGCTTAGCCTTTCTAGCGCCGATTACGCCTTGTCGATATCGTAATAATCTGCTCACAGCACAGTTTTCTTCCATCCTATGAGATTGTTCTACGAAGCACATTCTGACGAGGACGCAGTTCTATCGTGGTGGCATGACCAAGCTGCATAATATACGCTCTCTGATTTGTTCAAAAGATGCCAATTGTTAAGTTGATGTACTTTACGGGAAAGATAAGAACCGTACAGTCAAGCAAGTAAAGTCCGTGCGAAGAGGCAGCTGGAAGCATCCATACACCGATCGCTATTAGCTATTCCATAATAAGGATCCTTGAATCGCATGGAACAGCGGCATTAGCCGGTTTCCAATGATTGGGGTATCTCTTTCTTCTCTTCTATATAGGAAGGGGCCGGCTGTATGTTAATAGTCACAGAGACCTCGTCATTTACTGAGGATGCCAGCCTCGCAAATGAAGCTGCATCAAGGTGGTTTGCTCCTTTAAAGAAACGAAAGGTATAGCTCTCAGTATATGGTTTCAGCGCATTATGCTGTATAAGTAGCCCAGAATCCTGTCCGATATCAAGGCGAACCTGCCCCTTTATCCTGGGGTCGTTATGCGACCGATACCAAAAAATAAAGTTATCGCAGAAGGTAAGTCTCGAGTCTTCTCTTGTGAACGCTTCAAGAGAAACACTCACCAGGGAGGGCATGGAAGTGCGCTGTTTGACTAATCCCACAACATCTAGGAGTAATGCAGTGATGTAATGGAATCCAATGTCGGTGATCTTGAGTGTCTTGAGTGAGGCAGGAAAGTGGTCAATGAGAAATTTTGGATGACCCTCATATGTACGTTGGTCTGAAAGCCCTGTAAGATTTACATGTGGTATAGTGAGATGCTCCAGAGCACACAGATCCTTGAGTGACGACCATGGGAAAATACTCATCTTGAGGCGATCGCACTCGAGCCCTTTCACTCTAAGGCCTTGCCGTAATCTTTCATCCAACCGAATAGAAAGGGACTTCAGGGTATCCTTTACCATCAGGAGGACTTGGCGTGAATAGTCGGTGACTGTTATTCTAGGTGGTTTACGCTTCACCTGACTTATCACAAGATTAAGACGCTCGAGATTAATCGATTGTCTGAACCATTGAATCACTGTGTTGGAATATATTGACAGCCAAATAGTAACCTCTTTGACTGGACAATTTGTAATCATGAGCTTATCGTGACGCAGGCACTTTTCGAGATCTTGTTCATAATCCCAAGAGTTAAAATGTCCGCACACACTGACATGGTTGAGAGCCGGAAAACAGAGCGGGTACAGTATATGCTGTGAAGTAAGCAGTGTTTGTGCTGAGATCTGCCTGCGGTTTTGGAAGAGGAAGAGATCTTTGAGACATTGAAAAGGAGCAGCGTGAACTGGTGGTTGTGGACGAAAAGCTGCTGATCTCCAGATTCTTGCTAGGTACGTCTCTGTCAGATCTGAAAAATCATTGTTCTCAAGAGCGATCTTCAAAGTCGTTAGACGAGTCAATTTAATGAGCGTTGCGCAAGCCCATGCGTCTTTAGATAAGCTCTCCAGACCATCCCACCACACCCATTCATCACATCCCAGTTCACATAATGCAGCCACAAGTTCATCAATGAAGGGCTTATACTCTTTGCGCCTTTGGGGGAGTTCATCCTTGCCGTAGTTGTCGTACCCCCGAATCCTGAAAGCGAAGTGATGAACAAGACTCGCCAACTCAGGCGAAGAGCACAGTCGTCGAATGAGATCAAACTGGACGGGTGTCCAGATGCTTGGTAGGGTGATAGGGGAATAGAGACGTGGTGTAAACAGCGTGTGGAATTCGACAGAGGTTTCAGTCAAAGCCCTTTGCGTGGGCTTGTCATCTACGAAGGTACCGATCATCTCGAGGATTTCAGTTGGCAAGCGCTCCATCTTGTCGGACTCGAATGACTCGGTGTCTCATGCAAATACAGCGTGCTGAGACATGCTAGAAACTTCGAGTTGCGCCGTTATATCCCCAAATCAAGGATCACCTGATTTGACTGTCAACAAGAATTGCAGTTGGAAGTTACCTTATGTTAAGCTAATGAAAATGTAGCCATCCTCTTCAATCGTAATCAAACGGCTTGCGAGATGGCAACTCCCTTAAGCCACGGCGAGCTCCGTTTGATACTCCAGCAGGAGCAATATTACTGGTCGCAAGGCTTCCCCATCATGTTTTCACTGGCTCGGAGGATCCAAGTAGTGTAACTCACGTCTGATGGGTTACAAACATAGTGTGTCAGAAACAATCAAGTACCGGAATCTACCAAGTCTGGGCTTTTCGCTGTTATGCTTGTTTACAATCGGCACGCCAACTGCGGAGTTCTAGGGCTTGAACTTGAATTACCAAGCTATGAAGACATTAGCCCTACGTTGTGTCGCACGTAGCGGCAGGCTGGCCAGCTCTCCAACCTCTCCGAAAACAAAATATAGGGATTCGACTCTAGCGAAACTGCGCGTTACGTTGGCAATTAAAGGCCGAGCTTCACCCGGGCCGGTCGCCAGGAAGCCACAATTCCGTTTGTAAACAAGTTAAATGTAAGGAAATTATTTTATTTTGGTCTAGTGGATAGTTGATGGTGAGACTGTAGCCTCTAGCAGAGTCGTAAGGGGCCAGAGTAGGAAATTCACTCCACCCCTTGCACACGATCGGGCAATGTCGAGTACTCGGGATCTTTCTCCGCTACTGAATTGCCAAATTTGAGATTGAAAGATCGATAGAGAATTTATTGTCTCAAGTACGATGAACATACGAAATATCGTATTTACAGCATGCACTGTCGATTAGCCAATGGCCAGAAACGTTCCTAGGAGATGTGAAGGTGGGCACTGCTAGTTAGTTATGTTTGTGGGGGTAGTTAATTAAATGACGAGGCGTGGACAGCGTAAGCTGTGCCATCTTGGCTTATGAAGCTTTGAAGAACCCCGATTCAAGCCAGGATGGAAGATGAGGCATTCATGTACAGCAGACCACCAGCCGACACCCTCACGTGACTGAAACGTCCATAACTCGGGCCCTGCCATCCAGGGTCTACGTGTTTCCCTCCAAGGTTGCGGGTCGGCATGTGTTCTGCGGCATGCTGTCTCTCATCCGGTACCTTCCAAGCCTCCCGCCGAGCTGTCTGCAATGATCAGCAGGCCAACCAGACTACTACTATACGTGTGACACCGCGGATGCTAACATGACTGTTTGTCTCGCTCCTCCATTCTACACCTCAAGTCTGTTCCCTGTCATGATTTGGTTTCAGCCTTTCTACTGGCCTAGCTATATCCCACATCTCGCATCACAATGCAACAGAGCGGATTTGCCTGCCCGTCGGAAAGGGGTAATGTCCACATTGAACCTTGTTCTCCGAGTGGATCTGGGCCAAGCGGAAAGGAGGAAAGTTTAAGGAAGCAAAAAAAGCAAAACATCTGTCCCGACCACATAATTTGTCAAATTTGAAATGTTGCCTTGTGCCATACGCAGGGCCTTCCATTCCCTGAATTGGACCCAATGCCCAAGTATGCGGATTCTATGGCGGCGGGGATTGACTGGGCCTGCCATGCCTCGGCCCTGTCCTGGTATGCAGGTGCAGGCTGGGCAAGTCTTCGAGCTCATAACCATGAATGGTTTCATTTAAGTCCGGTCATCGCCTCTTGTATTCATCGTCCTGAATCAGGCTACCGACCTGGGCCATTTGTTCTTCCTCTCGCTCAGGTCCTGTCAGACTGTTCCGATCCCAACGAGACAGTATACGGCCTGTTCGTTCGAATTGAATGGATCTGCTTCCTGTCGAGCCTTGATTTCTGTTGTGTGATTTCCCCTACACCACCCTCAAAAGGTCTCAATCATGGGCTCCCCTACCGTCTCCGTTCTTGTAACTATATTATGCATCTTTTCCCTTCAAGTATGGGCAGTGCCCCATGGAGGATCGAGGAATAGCTCAGCCTCCCGAGTTATGTCGCCGTTACAGCATTTTCCTCCAATTAATTACCAACCCAAGCCCTCGTGAGTCTTGTATTTTCCACTTTGTCTCATATCACATGTCTACAAGTGCTGACTGAAATAGCGGAATTCCTTACACGATAAAGAACCAATCTGCTCAACCATGGCTTTATCGAACAACCGCCCCCATAACTCATTCTGCACTGGCGGAAGAAGATTCTCTATGCACGTCATCCAGCAACTCGTCTGGGTACTGGTACGAACAGATTGATCATAATGGACAGTCATCCTTCATGGATTCGAAGTACAAAGACAACTATACTGTCTTCCGCAACGTTGTCAAGGATTTTGGCGCGGATAATACTGGACAGAAGGACGCAGCAGCAGCTATCTCAGCTGCAATCAAAGGTATGGTTGAGTCGATCAATCACTTTAAGCATTTTCTAAGACCGAACATCACATAGCTGGACCGTCAAATGGACCTGACCGCAGTTCCAATTCCATGGGTACTACTGGACAGCCTGCTATCATCTACTTGCCAGCAGGAACGTATCTTATGAAGTCATCTCTGCAGCTGTACCTTGGGACTGTCATTGTAGGTGACCCCACGAACCCTCCAGTCCTCAAGGCATCATCAGATTTCGCGGACGATCATATCATCTACGCCAAGGATCCCAACTTTGGGGGTACGATCAATTTCTACCTCGGAATTAAGAACATTATCATCGACTCGACCGGGGTCGGGGCTGATAAATCCATCACTCTTCTTGATTGGACCGTTAGCCAGGCGACTCAGCTCACCAATGTCGGGTTCAATATGCCTACAAACACTGCCAAGCACGTCGGCCTAACTACACAATACGACTACAACAGTAACTTGATTCTGGTAATTGTGCGCTCTACTGTTATAATGGCATAGCGCTGACAGCTTACAGAATGACCTTTGGTTCAAAGGCGGCGCAACCGGCATGAAGTTGAGTGGCCAACAATGGGTCTTCAAGAACATCTCATTCAGTGGTACCACTACTGGCGTTCAGGCTGGAGGGACCGATATTGTATTCTTGGGCTGTCGCTTCGAACAGGGTACCCTGGGAATTGACGCGCAAGGCACATCCGGATCTCTGACCGTCGTCGATACTACTGGTGTTGGCATGGGTACTCTTATTTCATCATCTAGTTCGAACACTGCAGGAAATTCTATCGTCCTAGACAACGTTCAGAATTCAGGCGCCACAGTGAAGATAGGAGGACAAACCACGTTGAGCGGAAATGTTGCCAACACCTGGGTACATGGACATCTGGTAAGTAGATGAAGTGCACCCCCGGACCAAGGAAAGCAAGTTGATCTGACTCAACCATTAGTATACTTCCAACAATGCCAAGTTCCAATCGCAACAGGGCCAGACAGTCACTACATCCCGCTCCTCATCGCTTTTGTCAGGGAAGAACTATTTTACCATGGCGCCCCCAACGTATCAAGAGTATAGCACCGGGCAGGTCCTGAACATTAAGAATGTTCCTGGTATCCCGGTTTATGGGGACGGCGAGACGGATGATACTCGGAACATTAACCTTATTTTGTCCCGCTACAAGACATCTTGCTCACTCATGTATTTCCCCGCCGGTACATACATTGTTACAGATACCATTTTCGTGCCTGCTGGTACGCGGATCATCGGTGATGCATATGCCTCGACGATTAGTGCTGTCGGAAGCAACTTTGAGGATGAGTCTGCTCCTCGCGCCATGATCCGGGTAGGGTATCCGGGAGATGTGGGTGTTGCGCAAATTAGTGACCTGGTGTTCACTGTGGCAGATGTTCTGCCGGGCTGCAAGTTGGTAAGACGTGATGTCTCTTAAGTCTCTGTATGATGGTCGCTAATATGTCTTTCTGTTGTAGGTTGAGGTCAACATCGCTGCCAGGTCACCCGGGGACGTTGGCTTCTGGAACTCGCATTTCCGCATTGGTGGAGCGGCGGGTAGCCAAGTGGAGAGTTTATGTACGGACGACCCCAATGACTGCAAGGCAGCCTGGGGGCTCCTCCACCTAACCAGTACATCATCTGCCTACATTGAGAACATGTGGGGATGGACAGCCGATCACGATCTCGATGGGGACAACCCGCAAACCATCTCCACCGGCCGTGGGCTACTAGTGGAAGGTACAGCCGCGACCTGGCTCATTGGCACAGGATCCGAGCACAACACACTCTACCAGTACAACTTTCAGTATGCCCGGAACGTCTTCACTGCAATGCAGCAGAGTGAAACACCATACTGGCAGGGAGCAGGGAGCCGCGCTCTCAACCCAGCCCCATGGGAGTATCTCGACAGCAGTGATCCAGACTTTAGTAACTGCGCTGCCAATGATAGCAAATGTCGCATGGCATTGTTCGAACGCATTTATGGCTCGTCCGACCTCTTCCTCTACGGTGGTTGCAACTGGGTCTTTTTCAACAACAACGGTGATTGCAGCGGTGACTGCCAGACCAATGCGATTGACATAGCCAATTCAACCTCCATATACCTGTATGGAACCAATACGAAGAGCACGACCAATATGGTTCTTGAAGGAACTAAGGTCATTGCGACTCAGAGTGACAATGCTGGCGGTTGGGGGGGAGTCATTGCCGGATATTTGTATGATTCATAAAGGCAATGACTGGGGTACATATGAGTATTATTCCTATCCATAGTACTAATCTTTAGTTATAGACTGGAGCACATGATATTTACTAATACAACGAACGCAAATAGTTGCATTGTCCTTGGATTTGCATGGTTGAACATTGTAACATTCAAAGTAGATGTAGAGGTTGTGTGGGAGAGATATATACTAATCCCTTCCTATTACCCCCACATAGTCCGGAGTCCACATGCATTCGTGATGTTAGCAGGACTCAACAATATTTCAATCACACATTTGTTATTAAAACAAATAAACAACTTGGACTCCCTGGCA